ATTTTTTTCTATTTACAGACTGTCAGACCCTTTTGTTTCAATTAATATACCAAATACCGTGTTATAATGTGTGTATTATTGTATTATTATAACAACAACAACAACAACTGTTAAACGAATAAAGATACTTTATTTACTTTTTTTTTTTTAAAAAAAATTTCTATCAATCTGTCAATCAATCTAAAAGAAATATTTTTTTATTCCTATGTATGGATTCTTTTTATTTAATATATATGCATTATATGCGTGTATATATGCGTGTATATATGCATTATTCATATATGTATATCAAAAATATGATCAACAAGAATCCATTGTTTTAAAAAAAAAAAAATTAGCTGTGATAAAAAAATTGAGTTTGCGATTTATAACGATAAAGTGATGACATAGTTGACATAGATGACATAGTCTACAATTAAAAAATTAGAAATCGGTTTTTTTTTTAATAAAACAATTTTGTCAAGTAATCAGATAATCAACAACCCGGGGCTAACAACTAATAATATTACACCACATTACACCACATTACATCGTTTTTATTGGTTTATTTCTTGTTTAGATTCCAGAAATTGAATTCAATAGTTTTTAGTATTAAAAAAATTCAATTAATTCAGGCCGAATAAGATTAAAAGCATCCCTTAAATTCTGGGTATTCCGTTATCATTTTTGTTAACCAACTTGTTTAAAATCCAGTATTTTTAAAATTAAAACATTCACACACTCACGATTATCACTTTAAGAAGAGTGTAACAAGATATGCGAACGAGTAATTTTTTATAACGGCGGGAAGGAGAGTGGAGAAGGAGGGGAAGGATCACAGTGTAAAACCATCAATCAAAATCAAACAAATCAAATTTTGGTAAAAATTAAATTTGATGTGATTTGTGTTTGTTGTTATTATTATTATTTATTATTATTTATCAATAATAAATCGATATAAAAAATAATAAACGCCACCACCACCAGAGTTTGGTGGGAAAATTTTAATTTTAATTCTACTGTGTTTATTGAAATTTCAGTTATGGTAATTATTATTAGTAATGACAATAATAAGCAATAATAATATTAATTATTAACAATCCCAATAATTTGTTTGCACTAACAATCAATGAAGAAATTGACATTAATTTTTACAGTGATACAAATATAACATGTATAACAAACGCATATAACTTAATATTAATATTAATATTAATTTAATAAATAAATATATTAATACAATGAACGCAAATCTTCAATGTTAATCAGATAACCAAACAACCTTTAATTTTAAGCATACACATCTGCAATCTTCTGGATTTTCTCGTCTTTATTGAAGGATTTCTCGAGATGAAAAAAACACTTTTCTAGTAATCCATAAAATTAAAAATTAAAATATTTATGGATCGATTTATGCATTTATCGTTTCGTGTCCCTCTCCAGTTTGCTGATATGCATATTTGGCTTTAGTTATTTATGTTTCATCTTTCTTCCTTCCCATCTAACCAGAGTAAATAATTCCAAATTAAAGCTTATACAAATTTCCCACGTGAAATAGAAAATCAAAAAAACACGTAAAATCCATGGTATATATGGATCATAATGGACTCATAGTAACTCTCTCAAACTGTTCCGATTTTGCGTATATCATTACTTAAATGACTTTTATTGAATTCAATAAGAATATTTTAAGAGAACAAACAAATATGCAATCAATTTATTATCAATGCATTTACAATTGTCAATTTAATATTAAAGAATTATGATGTTTATGATGTTATTAAATTTCTAATTTTGTACCTTTTGATGAAAAAAAAATTTTAAAAAAGCATTTGAAAACATGCATTTAATTAAAATCTACTCATAAATCAATAACCGACCAATTAATTATGTATACACGTAAAAAATCACGTAGAAAATAATCACGATCGATTGACGTTGATTTTCTTCCAAAGAAAGAAATAATCGGTACGTCTCACTTTTGCCTTTTTACAATAATAGTAATGCTTGATTTATTTTTTTTAATAGGCAATGAAATTTTGAAAATTGATAAATAAATATTACTCTTTGCACAATTATATCTATATCTACTTGTACTGTAGCTTTGCAGCATATTCTTGGAGAAGGTATTACTTTTGCATGTACGCGAGTTAAATGATACAAACATTTAATCGTTCAGTTTTAACAATAGGTCCTTTTATATGAAATTGTCCTTTAGATTTTCGCCTAATGGTAATAATACCTCGGAACATTCAAAACGACCAAAAATTTGCTGGCTTGACTTTTATTCTCAATTGGCGAAAGTTCGTGAGTTAAGCGAAGCCAATTGTTTCACATAATGTGATTAGTATTTAGTTCACACGAAAAACTTTGCACGAGCAAACGTATTTATCTTGTAATCAAAAACATTCATGGACAAATAGGATGTGGACAGTGGAAAGATGGAATTTCGATTTTGAGGTAATAATGCAGTCATTTGCGATTTGGAATTTTTAAGAAATATACCCGATAAAATTTGAGATATTTTACAAGTTTCAAATCAATTAATTTTCCCTTTAACGTGACATATTTTTAAATAACAATATTATTTTATTTATTCCGTAGGCTTTTTTTCATATACCAACATTGATTGATATTTAAAGATCGATCGTTATGCTGATCCCTTATGCGAAGGCCATACTATTGCCCTAGAGTGAGTGGTAGAGCAAAGTTTAAAGCCATTGTTAAAACTTCATTATAAAGTTACTAATTAAACTTAGACTGTGTAGAGTAAGGAGGCGAGCGTCAGCATTTTCCAAGTTTTGATCTTCCATCTTGTGCAATAAATATTAGAATTATTTCTTTATAACATTGGTATTATTCAAATCAGATTGATCGCGAATAGATTTAGGTTCGTTATAAAATGCAAATTTGCATTAATATTTATTATCTTTATCATTATCATTATTTGTCTGGGTGACCAAGGGATCCCGAGCGAGAATTGTTATCAATTCGTGTAACAATAGATAAATAAGTCTATTTATATAATAAGAAAGTTTACACCAACAAAAAATTTTCCTCACTCCTTTTTTTTTCAAAATGTTATCAACAATACCTTATGATTGTATTGAAAATATCTTTGGATACTTGGACTATAAGAACAAAGGATCACTTTATTCGTGTAGTTTGGTTAACAAATATCTGTGTGAGGTTGCTATACCATTCATATGGGAAGATCCATTCTATTCGGTGAAAAGCACCAGAATATTAATCAACTGTTTATCAAAGGAATCAAAAAAACTTTTAGAAGCCAAAAATATTGACTTTACATTCAATCTATTGGAAAAACCCACTTTACACAACTACGCAATGTTTGCTAAAACATTATTTATTTATAGTTTTAATGGGTTTAATGAGTTGATCAAAGGATGTAGTAATGATCACAAATTGAAAAAGCTGAAACTGTTGATTATCGAGTTGTTGAAATTGATTATTAAACATTCAAGAATCAAATCATTACATTCAACATTTCTAGACAATTTTGCTTCTTTAAATCAAACACCTAGATTTCATGATTGTTTTTTAAATCTTTCCAGTTTATATTGTTCTGATAAAGAAAATCCATCTTTTTTTTATCAGCTGGCACAAGTTTCTAGAAATATTCAGTTACTATATATTAAAATTCTCAATCCTTCCGTTTTTGATCCTTCTTCTTCTGCCACTAACAATGACAACGATGGATTAATTAAATTAATCAGAGTGCAAAATAATATTAAAAATATATATATAAAAGTAATTAACAAAGCTTTATTATCATACGGAATCGTAGATGCGCTATTAACTCATCAGAGTTCATCGATAGACTATTATGATGACATATGCAACGATAGAAATTATTTTATAAAAAGACTCTACAACAATTTAGAATCATTTTACCTGACTGACTTTTGTCTGAAAAATCGCTACAACAAAAATAATATAATAAGGAGGTTAAGCAATAAAAACATTTATGATGATAATGATAACAATAATAATAAAAATAGTATTATTACTGCTGATTCATCATCATCATCATCATCATCGTCGTCGTCGTCGTCGTCGTTATCATCATCTTTGCCTTTATCTTTTCCAAATCTTAAAAAATTATCTATTCATACCTTCTTTCGAACTTATATATTAGAGACTTGTGATTTTATTGGTATAAATGGAAAAACTCTTCAGATCCTAATTATTAAAAGTGAAAGGCTCGAGGAACAAAGTGTCAGAAGAACATTACAAGCAATTGGTGATAACTGTTACAATTTAAAAACTTTATCAATATCATATAATAATAATTTATCTTATGAGTTGAGCAAGATGATAGAACGTTGTAATAAATTAGAAAAAATAGCGTTGGATATAATTTACTATGAAGATGAAATTTTGGATTGTAATAAAGTATTTAATGTTTTAAGTCGAATATTATTACCAACAAATTTAAAATTAATTGTTTTTTGGGGGGAAGTTTCTTTATCCAACCACAACCTGTCACTAGATAAGTTAATAAAGAACTGGAAAAATTTTTGGAAAAACGAAGGACCTCTTTGTATCAAATTTTATAAAGATACGTTTATTGATCAGTCCATACTTGATAATTATCAAAATCTAAGGTGTATAAAAATCGAATTTGTAGATAACAACTTTGATTCTTTAGATTGGTTTGATGATGATGTGTCATGACAATAATATTAGAATGGAAATTAATCGTATGATAAAAAAAATAAATATAAAATTTAGCATGGGAAAAAATATAAAAAAATAACCTGATGTTTTTAATTTGTATTTTTATGAAAAACAATGCATGCATATCGCGTGACTTTTAACAAAAAAAATGTGGGAAAAAAAAAAAAATAACGGCATATATAAAAAACTCGAATTTCTGGGGAAAAAAAAAAATAATTTTTTTTAAAAAAAAACAAAAATTTTAAAACAACAATTTTAAAACAATTAAAACAATTTTAAAACAATTAAAATTTTAAAACAATTAAAACAATTTAAATAAAATGATTAAAGAACAAATCCATACTGATAAAAACATACAGCAATGTGAATTTGTTCCTAATGATCCGTTTTTTGATATCGAACAAAATGCCATGGAGATTTTTGAAAGTGGTAATTATTTATCATCATCATCATCATTATTTATTTTTTTATAATTAATTTATTATACTTAACACATTACACACTCAAAAAAAAAAAATTTTTTTTTAGTCCCAAGTAAGAAACAACGTAGTAGGAGTATTAGTGAATTAATACCGAATGATCCGTATAGGACCATTGAACTTCATTGCGAAGAAATTTTTGAACCGCGTCAAAGGAAAAGAAGCAATAGCGAGTTGATTCCTAATGACCCTTTAAGAAGTATTGAAATTCATGCACCAGAAATTTTCGATGTTAATGCTAAAATTCAAAGAGAAGAGGAGGATCCTTTTAAAAAAATTGAAATATACGCAGAAAAAATTTTTCAATAATCTTGATAATCTTTTTATATTGATATATCTTTTTTTCATTTTATTTTTTTTTTCATTTTACTTTTTTTTCATTTTTCATTTTTTCACAAAGATGTGATGTAATAGTCCCGACTTAATATTAATAATATATTTTTAGCCACAAATTTTTTTAATGTAAATAAAGTTGGTAAAAATTTTTGGTTATTAAATCACATGACCTGTCAGTTGAATATTTATTTTATTACTCAGTAGTAAGTTTTTAGGTTAGCATGTTTGGTTATTGAGCATATATACGATTTAAATATTACATATTATTTATTATGTGACCTTTTTAATTTAATTAGGCACCAATATCGAGATTTGGCATAATTTTATTACAACAGTGTTTATTCAAATTTTAATAATAATGGGTAGAGGTGACGCCTTATACAAGAGTGACCGAAGACCCTGGTCGTTTTAGAGTTGATGATGGTCTCTTTGTTTTGTATTTGCTGCGCCGCTATATTAAACGGGACAATGGATGACCCACGGTTTCTTCCACAAAAAAAAAAAGAAATGGCTTACGAAGGAGCAATGAAAGGCACAACAAAGGACATTCATTATCTCTTCCAGTCGCAACACACTGGAATTCATACAACTTATGAATTTAGAGTCATTTCTATATATATTTATTTTATTTCTAGCCATGTTAAATTGCAGAAAGATGTCTATATCATTTAGATCCATTTTTAAAAAGTTGTTGTGTTTCTTCTAATTTTGGCTCAGAAATTATTTATGACTTCTCACAAATGACTTTAATACAATTTTCCGTTCAGCTTTTGATAGTGTTCCTCCTATTCATATATATTATTCAAATATTTGAAATTTATGGAAATGATATTGATATTAATATTTGATTCTTATTCAAACAATACTTTTACTTTGGATATCATGATCTTTTTTTTTTATAACTAGACAAGAATATCCTCGAGTAACTAACTATAAATGTGAAATATTTACCCCAAAATCATTTTTTAAAAAAAAGATTCGGTATATACTTGTCATAGCGAAAGAAAATTTTATTCCAAATCCGTTGTGACAAGAATTTAATTATAGTCTGCTGTGACAAGGGTACTTTTCCTGGTCGCAATAAACTCTCATAAACTACATCTACATCAGGATTGTCAGTATAATGACTTTCACTTCAAACATTAGCTATTCATTGTCTAACTTCTTTGTTATTCAACTGTTTAAATTGTAATGGTACTTTTAATTGTTCAGTTTCTTGCTCTTTATCAGCTAATTGCATTTTCAATGTTTCATTTTTATTTAATAATTCTTTATTTTAGAGTTTCTATTCATAATACTAATACAGTCAATCTTTAAGTTGAATTAAAAAATCTATTCGAATTATTTGTTATATTCAAATTAAAAAATTTATTCATTTTATTTGAATTATTTGTTTTATTCAAATTACTAGTTTATATTAAGTTTATAAAATATAGGTCTTATTTCTTTAACAAGGTAATATAAACAATAATTATATTTATAATCTATATTACTACTATAATTGCTAGTATTATGACTTAAAGAAAATGTCAGCTACTACTATTTATTATTATCACTATATTCAAGGACTAAGGATAGGGATGTTAAAATGGTTGAGTCGGTTCGGTTCGGTTTAAAAACCGTGTTAGACCGGTTTGAACCGTGGTTTGTCGATCACATACTAAGATCTGATTGGCCAATTTTAATAACCGTTGTTGATCACATACTTTAAATATGGGTGGTTAATTTTAAACAATGATTTTTAATATAATATACATATACATGCAATACTTTTACTGTAAGCTCTGATAATTCTTTTGCAATTAAATTATGATGATTTTCAAATATTTGATAAATTTGATTTTGTAAAGATTGATTGATGTGTTGGTAAGATATACCATGAATCAAAGATATTGCATAATTTTTTAAACCAAAAATTTCCTACAACTGAAAATGGCATTTGGAACCCAACAATAAAATTAATAACAGCATCTGTACATTCTTTTATTCTTTTATTATCATTTTCTTTATATAGTTTTTGTAATTGATTTGTTGTAGAAAGAATATTACTATGTTCTTTTGTTAAATGATCCATAAGTGGTTGTGTTGATGATTTTTTTGCATATTTTTTTTCATATAAACTACAAACAATTCCTATTACTTCATTTTGACTATTATATTTTTGGAAAATATTATATACAGAAAGGTTCTTTTTATGGAATATACAGAACCCTACCAAAAATAGCAATTCATTCTATAAAAAAGGAAACTAAATTGTAGCTCAAAATTTTTGTAAAACCAATGTGACATTTATCACAGACGTGATGATTAAATTTGTGGGCTGGGGGTGGCAGGAATTACACAATGTTTACCAACTCTAAGAATTAATCCTTATTTGTCACATAGGTTCTGTATATTTCATAAAAAGAACCTTTCTGTATATAATATTACCCTATATTTTTTATACATAAAATTCCAAACCGCAGATGTTGTTTTACTTTTATTACTTAGATATATTTTCCATTGCAGGAGGTGAGCAAATATTATTAGTTGAAGATAGACTTTCAAATATTTGTTATATTATCTAAAATAGAGTCATTGTTGTCATTGTCATCATCATTTTCTTGTTCTGTTAATTTCAAACTCAGGAAGATAATTATTGTTGTTGTCAGAAAAATCATTGTCATTAGACATTATATGTAAATAATTGCTTCAAAAACGAATTAAACACTTGCAAATATTTTAATTGTAGTAAAAATATTATTTATTCTATTTATAAACAGACAGATAATCTCATCTATCCAAATGTTTCTAAACTTAATAGTAAAAATAAATAAATAAATTGTTTGACTATAATGTTTAGACTATTTCTTATTTATTTTATTTAAAATCGTTACATTTGTCATGATTAAAATTTAATTGGTTATTTATGTAAATCAGATCGACAAACCGCGGTTCAACAGTGGTTCAACCACGGTTTCAACCATATTGGTTCAACCACGGTTGGTTTGGTTCAGCTCCAACCGCGGTTCAACCATGGTTGAGTCAGCTGTTTAACATCCCTAACTAAGGAAAAATAGATTGATAAAGGAAAATTTTTTTAATTGGATTGGATTATTAATTTTATTATTATTATTCATTTTATTCAAATTGCTAGTTTGAATTAAAAATTATTAGTTTTGTTCAAATAAACTTTCAATGTAATTTGAATACTCAAATTCATAATGAATAAAACAAATAATTTGAATAAACCTTATTCAAATAGAAGCCCTACTCTATTTGCTTGTTGTTGTTCATTTATAATGTTTACTATGATTTTTTTTAATTATATTCTTCAATTTTTAATAAATACTTAATATCTTTCTTTTTATAAAAGCATTTTTGGCATAATTCTTCTAAATCACCTTCAATATTAAGTATATAATTATTTTATTAGCTTATTTTTAAATTTTCTATTTGTTGTCAGCATAAATTGGTTTTGGACAAGTAATATCCTTAAATTCATCCCTTACAAATGGACAAATATTGTTATAAGGTATCCTTGCCTTTTATAATCCAAAGGAGGTGATGTTAACATTAAAATAGATAAAGATTTAATTTCTTCAAAGACATCTGCTTTCTTGATTTTCAATAAATTGAATTCAGATCCATTAGCAACTTCTTTGAACTTTCACTGTACCAAGATTAGATGCTTCAAAAAGAAAATGTTGATACTCTGTATAATTGGCAATTTCTTAAAATAAATTCCCAAAACTGGTTTGATGTCCAAGTACTGAAAACCTTTTCCACCTTCATAACACTGGGTTTTATTTAATCCATCTGAACTAGATCTTTTCACAATATCAACCACATGGTCTAGACAATCTACACTTGTTCTTCTGTAGAGTTTTTTAATCAATCCAAATTCAATTCAATGCTTTCAATAACCACAAATAACTAAATATAAATAAAATCAAATAGTCACATTATTTTTATTTTGTTCACCTGCATCATCACAAGTAACCTTTAGATGTTTTTCACCCTTATTCAATTCCTTGATTCCATCAAAAATTATACTAAGAGTACCATCAGTACCTTTATCTATAATTTCATCTTTATTAAGACATAATTGATTTGTTCCCTTACTGCTTCATCTTGGATACCAAATAAATGGACTTTTACATGGACTAAGATAATAAATCTTACTTACCTGTTGATCAGAATGTGGTACATGAACATTTTGGGCTCAATCATAACTGTAATGAGCAGTGGCATCAATACTGCAATATGGTGTTTTACCCTTTGAATAATGTTGATCAACTAGTTTCCTTTGTTCTTCAGCCAATTTAGTATTTTTATTACAACAATTTCTTTCTAATCTTATCTTGGACAGATGTTCTTTAAATCTTTCGAGTAAATCTTTAGCTTCTTCTTCTTGGTGAGCATTGTAATGCAAACCATTTCAAAAATGTTGACAAGTATCATACAAGTCAGTTCTTGGACTCATAATTTAAATCTCTGGTATCAATTGATGTCATAATTTTCTGAAGGCATCATACTTCAAAGATTTCAAATTACTATCTTCTTCTAGACCAGCCAGAAAATACCTGCAAACAGAACTTATGACTCATTTCAGTTGGTAAGAATGTAACTGATTGAGTTATTTTATTGGTACTTCTCCCTAAACCATGAACTTCGGCATAATTTTCCAGAAAATTCTTTACTATTTCTGCAATATTTTTGTCAATCACCATTTTAGCTTTCCATTGGGGCATCCTTTTAATATTACCATGAACTCTTGTTAAAAGACCATGGTTTATCAAATGATTTCTGATATTTTCAAAATCAGTTCTACCAACCCCTAACATATTAAAGTAAGTTTCTTGACAAAGGAGTGTATTGTGATCCCAGTGATAGAAAGTTCTTTTATTAGATCTAGCTTTCTTTTTAAGGTGTCTGCTGGTGCTTGTTAATCCACTATCCATTGCTTTAAGTTGAGCCATCAAAAATATGTCTTGTTCAGACTTGGAAAGAATTCCCTTAATTCTGCAAATTGTTTGTTTGTTGAGAAGAACAACCACAATTACAACATTTTTCTAAAAAATCAATGGTCTTTTAATATTCATTAGAACCGTTATATTTTTTAATACTTTTCATATACATTTATTACTTTATAATTATTTTAAAATTGGAGAGGTAAAATTAAACTTAGATAAATTCGTGAAATAGTTTTAAGCAAATGATTTAAAAAAAGAGAAATTGAAAAATTTAATTGACTCATCCCATAAAAAGCAATTGTAGTTTAGATTTAATTGTTTTATCATCAGCAAGGAATATGAAAAAAAGTAAACAGTAACTTTATTATAAAATAATAACAAGCAAAGCATCAATGTTTCATATTTACATACTATTATTGTTTGCATTTATTTTATTTCGTCAGTAATGATTAATAAAAGGTTATCTTTGTTAGTGCACTTTTTTACAGGTGGTTAACTGGACTCTTCTTGGTTTTTTCCTTCACCATAAACTTATCTCTATTATAAATAAAAAATTAATTAAGTAATCAATAAAATAGGATCAAGAGACAATTTAAAAATAAAACAAACCAACTTATTGGCGATAAAAATACTCAAAAGAAATTGAAATCTATGGTGTGACTTCAAACAATTATTTGATAAAGAATTGAATTGGATTCTGGTTTTTCCTTTAATGAAATGGCCATTGAAATCCGTGAATTAATTTGAAGAAGGAAAGGGAATTGCTACTTCTACAACAAAAAACTTCTATCAACGAAAAACCACTTCTAGAAGGAAAACAATAGAAGAAATTCAACAATCGGTTGAAAAGTTGAAAAGGAAAAGAAGAAGGTGATAGAAAGTGATGATAAAAGCAATGATGGTATGAATATTAATAATAATATTATTATTGGTAACAGTAGTAATAGTGAAAGTTGAATGTTTGTCAGAGTGCCCAAAGAATAGGTAATATTTACAAATGGCTTTGGGTCCGAGTATTTTTCTCCCATGTAAGTGCTCTGACAATTCTTTAATTTATATCATTATGTATTTTTCTATTATTAGTTGAATTAAAATAAAAATAATTTCTTTTTGTCATTCATAAATAAATTCCAAGTCATATGGGGCATGGACAATAGAAACGACCCAAACGTCAAAAATCATGATTTTGAGTTAAGAGCATTTCTACATGCAATTTATTACAGAGATTAATTTTAGCTTAGAAACCATATCCACTTTGCTTAATAAAATTTTCTGTTAAAGTTCTTAAAAACAATAGGTAATTACTTGTAATGCATATTTTTTTCTCAAAATTGTGATTTTGACGTTCGAGCTGTTTCTATTGTCCATGCCCCATATGTCCACCAAATTTATCATTGGTCGAAATTATGCATAAATTATAAAATTATAACAATTATGATCTAAATCAATAAAAAAAATTTTTTTAATTTTAAAAATGTCAACATACGAAGATATTAAAAACGATAAAGAAAAGGCCGAGAAAAAGTATGAGAAGGCGGAAAAGGATTTAGAGGAGTGGAAAAAAAAGTGGGATGAGAGATTGAACGATTTGAAGAGGGGGAGAGTAAAAGAAGAATACGAAGAGAGAAGAACGATTTAATGAAAGAAAAGGAAAATTTGGAGACGAAGGAGGATGATCAAACGATAAAGTTGCAGGATAGATTATCCGAATTCAATGAAGAAAAAGGTAATGAATAAATTGCGTAAAAAAAATTTGTTCTCTATTTATTCCATTTTGTTTGTTTATTTATTATTTATTCATTTGAGAAAGTATTGATATACTTGTTTATAACTTTAACTAACTTGTGGATTTTTTTTCTTTTGTTATTTATTATTATTGATTCATTGTTATTTATTTCTATGACCAACACATATTTGTTTGAAGATATTAATTAAGAGCAAATACTTAAAGGTAGCACTTGAATTTATTTCTTATTTTTGCATTGTTTATCAATCTGATTTTAAAACCACTGCCCAATTTTTTTTTCATTTGATGCATACATGAAGGTATCAAGAAACATCACTTTGAAGAAGAGCTGATATCAAATCAAGGTTTGAGTATAATATTTAATTTTTTGCTCCTTTTATTCATTTGTTCATACAGTTTTTTACCTGTAATTATATAGATATATCACTTGATTTTTCATTTTACGAAAGCATCACCATAGGCAGATTCATTCCAATAAAAAATACATTTAAGGAAGCTGACCTCCAAAAATTATTCAGTTTTAATGATGAGATTCTTATCCGTGGCAAGATGAAGAAATTAATTGATGAACTGTATCATAATGCTATTCTTAAACAAGCAAAAAATGAAAATATAACAATGAAATATGTTTTGAAGGGAGCTGGAGGTGTTGGAAAAACAACAACATTGTATACCACTGCCTGTGCTGCTCGTGCTGCTGGATGTCTAGTTATGTACATAAATGCTAAATATTTCACTGATAGTACAGATTGGATCAATGTTAAGGTTAATCTGTTTGTGCAGCGATGGCTTGAATATACTGAAAACATTGATCTATTAAAGAAGATTCCATCATATTTGCCAGGTTTCATTTCATTGTATGATGTTGCATTGAAAACAGCTAATGATAATACTGGTAAGGCAATTCAGGCCTTTTCTGCATTAATTACAGATCTTCGTTGTGTTAAACATATCCCTGTCATTATATGTATAGACCAATATAATTCATTTTTGGTAAAACATAAATTAATCTTGGAAGAAGATAAACCACCACAGATTGTACAACATGAATATAATTCTATTGCCAATATATTTTCTGATTGGAATAATTTCAACACATCACAAGGAGCTGTTCTATATGCTTTTACATCTTCATCTCATGGTGACAAAGCAGCAAATGATGGGAATTCAATGCTTTATGAAAAATTCAACCATATAATGATTTTGAATGGAATAAAAATACTACATACTTTTGCAATAAATTACCTGATAACATTGAATTTTCAAGGGATTTTGTAGGTAGCATACCACAGGAGTTTATGCGTTTCTTTAAATATTGGTCTGAATATGGATCTGAGGGAATAGATGTTGTGAAATTCCAATATTTTGAAGATGCAAAAAGATATTATACAGCAAGAATACATAGACTTTTGGATAAGGAAAGTTTAGGTGATGAATTCAAAGACAGTGCTATGTTTGCTGCAAAGGTTTTTATGGGAAAAAAAAGTGAGTGAAGTACCTGGATCTTGGGACAGTTCTGGAATGGTAATTCCAGATGGTTATTATTATAAATTGTGCTGTCCAGCAGCAGAATATTCAATTCTGACAGCTTTTGATGACTTTCATGTAAAAGAAGTTATAAAAGTATTGAAAGAAGATAATGCTATGAGTTTGCGTGTACTAGAGCTCTGTGTTCAACACTGCTTTAGAATGGCAGCAAGGAATGTAACCCCTATAGGATTTCCATACACAGATTTAAAAACAAAATCTAAACTCAAAAAGATGATAGTGATTGTCAAAGTTGTTGTAGTCCATGATGAAATCCCTCAAACTTTACCAAAATTCAATCCAGGAACATTCTATGTTTGTTGGCAGGGTGCAGCCGTAATTGACTTTTTCATATATAGCATTGATGGCACAAAAATATTTTTACAAGTATTAGAATTATGTTATATAGAGCACCATACTAAACTTCCAGATCTTTTTGTTAATGGCAAAGTCCCTGTTCATAATCTCTCAATACATCATTCTTTTCAAAATGCATCAATCCAATATCAACACCTCAGAATTCCTTAGGAGAAAATGAATATTATGTTTACTTGACTACCAATAATAGTGGGATGAAAAAAACAACTGGAACCTATGTTGAACAAGTCTGCCTGGTTTCTGGTAAATCAGCACATCATTTTCTTCGCAATTTATATCCCTATTGATAATATCAATTGTTGGACAATGCTTGATTGGTTCTTTTGAATCACCTTTTTTTTACATATGTAGTATAATTGATCAATTCTTCTATGTCTCAGTGTACATGGGGAAATCCCAAAATATCAAAATAAATACAAATTACTAATTCAAATAGTATCTTTTATAGTATAGATGCTGGTCGCAATTCTTGGTGATGGTTGCAACTAGAGATGGGCAGATCAATACTATACGTATAGTGCGTATAGTTCTAGAACTATATAGTAGTAAATGTAAATCAATTCCTGTTTAGGTTATCTCCAAATAATAGATGTAATGTTGCACATAAAAATTAATTGAAAATTAAAGTTTATTTAATGCTTAATAGTAAATTAAAGTTTATTTAATATTTAATAGTAAATTAAAATGCTTGCATAATAATGCATTACTTTCTCACGATATATATATTTTAAACTTATTGTAACAATTTACATTTCATCACGAATACAATATATGAATAAAGAAAATAATTAAACATTAATGGCGAACAAATTAATTTTATATTTTAAGTATTTTCGCTAATTATGTTTAGTAATATTCAGATAGATGAGATTATCTGTATTTTCTTGTATTATAAATAAAGAATAACTTCTATTTAAAGTATTTGTTTGTAGTAAAGTGTTTAATTTGTCTTTAACCGGAGGAATTATTTTGCTAATATTAGGATTGATGATTTACTAAAAAAATATTTGGATAATTTTTAAATCTCCCGCAACTCCTCTCCATCTCTCCAATAATAGTATTTTTGATGCTTTCTTTGGTTTTTTTCCATACTCTTGACCAAAGTAATTCTTCACAAATAAATTCTTTACATTTATAATGACTCGTCAAAGTGCAATTTGGCAACATTTTAAACATATTGGTAGTGTTAATGGTTATAAGCAATCACGCGTTGAATGTCTATATTGCAAAAACCCAAAATATCAATGTGCTAGTTCAGTATCTAGATGTGAAAACCATTTACGCATTTGTCCAAATGCCACAATTCAAACTAAAAAAAATTATTTTGGAGAACATTTTGATACTTCAAATACTAGTATACAAATAAATGAAAACATAACTTCTAATAATGCTACATTCATTACATCAAATGCAACAATCACTTCAGATCCAAATGTTGCACCAAGTTCATCCAACAACCGAAGAACCATAAACAGTTTTGTTGACAGAATATCATCCATTGAACAAATAGAAAACGAAAAATCATTTGCTAAATTAATTTTTCAGTGTGGATTGCCATTGTCTCTTTCTGAAATGGAACCATTAAAAAATTGGATTAAAAAAACAAGACCAGCATTAAAATTACCATCAAGAAAAAAAATTTCTACTACATTACTTGATGAAGTGTATCAAGATACAAAAAAAGATGTAGAAAAATTTATTAATGATGCTAAGTTTATTTGTCTTATTTGTGATGGATGGTAATAAATTAATTTTCAAATTTTTAATATCATTCCATAATATTGTCATTACCAAAATTTAAATCTAATTTATTTTATTATTTTAGGACAAGTATTGTCCAAGAACATTGGACTAACTTTATTTTAACTACTCCAACTCCAGTATTTATTTCAGCCAAGTTTACTGGGGAAACTAAACAAAATGCTAACAATATTGCTGCAAATATTGATGAAATATTAATTACTCTTGATGAAAAAAAATTATCAGCAGTTATAACTGACAATGCTGCAGTAATGAAATTAACATGGAAGATACTTGCTGAAAAATATCCAAAAATTTTATTTATGGGTTGTTTAGCACATGGATTAAATTTGTTAGCAAGCAATGTTTCAAAATTAGAATGGGCTAAAAATATAATTATTAGTGCAAAATCTATTGTTAAATATTTTAAAAACCACATTATTCCAAATGCAATCCTAAAAAAATATCAACGAGCAACTTATGGGACAAATTATTGCACATTAAAACTTCCTGTTAAAACTAGGTGGGGGTCTGTAGCAACTTGTTTGTCCTCATTAAAAATAAATCAATTGGCTATTAAATTATCATTAACTGAAATTCTAAGAGGCTCAGATATATTTATTGATGAAATGATTAAAAATATTATTCAAAGTGAAGATTTTTGGGAACAAACTACAGAACTTTTGAATATACTTGATGAAATAGTACAAGGTATTATAATTTTTGAAAGTGATGTGCCAAAGCTTTCACAATTTTATGAATGGTATGAATCATTGGAAAATTCTGAAGGTATTTTTTTAAAATTTAGTTTATAAATTTTAAATTTAAATCTTTAAATTAATTCTTAATTTGTTCATTAGTAATAAAAAATTCACTCATGAAAGAAGATATCAATGTGTTAATTGATGAAAGGTGGGAAAAAATGTATAATCCGGTTATGTTAGTTGCTCATTTATTAGATCCAAGATATTTTGGAAGAAGATTACCAGGTGATGGAATGAATGAAATTTCCGAATTTATTAATAAATATTTTCCTGAAGATTCAATTATTATTTATAGTCAGATTATGAGTTATAGAGCAAAAACAGGTTGTTTTAGCAATGTTCTAGCATGGAACACCATAGAAAGCGTTGATCCTATTACTTGGTGGGTTGCAAACTTTGCAGAATCAGCACCTGAATTAACACAGGTTGCACAACGTATTTTAACCATACCAACATCATCTGCTGCATCTGAACGTAACTGGTCAGCATTTGCACATATTCATGACAAAAAAAGAAACCGATTAAGTAATCAAACTGTTTTCAAATTAGTTTATATATATAGCAATTATAAGCTACAAACACCTGCAGATAATAGAAAAAAAATTAAAAAAAAATGCATTGATGAATTAGGTGTAAAAAATAATGTAAATCAATATTATATTGAAAACGAAAGTGATAAGGAAGAAAACATAATTGAAGAAATTGATGAAAGTGCCATTGAAGAAGCTGATGAAACACATGAAAATTTTATTGAAGAAGAAACTGACAATTTGAGTGAGGAATCAGAATTATCTGAAAACAGTTTTGATTTTTATGAATATAATTAATGATTCAATTAAATATATAAATCAAACCTTTTAATATAAAAGTGTAAGCTGAATAAATTAAATAAAGATTTAATTGCTACAATGTTCATGTTTATTGTAATAGGCAAATATTTTATTTTATTTTTTTCCCTTAAACGAAATTGCAATTGTGATTCATAAATTACAAAAAAAGGTCTTTTCCTACAGACTCACCACAACCTTTCTTATTTAATAATGATATTCAAAACACCCTATTTCCATTAAAAAAATTTCGTTGGGGGTTGTGTATCACAAATAAAGAGATAATATGTGTAAAACGTAAAGGATTCCTTTTTGTTTGTTATGAAAATTCTTTGCAGATCTTTTTTTATTAATATAAAAATTTGTGATATGGTTACATAGGACCTTATAACCCTTCCTAAAATTATTAGCTGATATGCAGACACTATTAACAAGACTTGTTAAGCAGATCAAATTACATATGAACCCCAGGGTTGAAATCAATAATTTATATGACCTTTTCTATCAAAAAATAAAAATAAAAATAAGAGTTGCTTAATATTTTTTTATCTAGTAGGGTCTACATTTTTTTAAAAATCACATCCAGATTTGGACATAATTTTTGTCCATTTAAGGGATAAAGATATTGAATTTTTTTATGTTTAATTCTTATGATGGTAGGAATAATTATAATGATATCAGGAAAAGGAGGAAACAAATGTGAAGTGACAAAGATTGGATATTTTATACATACCTATTAATATACATAATGTGTGTATGTGGATATTGATTAATTAAATAAAAAGATAGTGGTGATAGATCCTCTCTACATTTGTTTCTAGTTGTATATATGATTTATTATTATTGTTAGTTATTTTTCTTCTTCTAGATTGTCTTCTGGTAATTTAAAATATGATAGACACCATGAATATTTTGATAAAAAAAATTTTTTTGATCCTTTTTTGAATATATATATACATATATACACATTTAAGTATAAAGTAATTGCTAATATTCCATGCTTCAATTGCTTCTTCTTTCTATCAATTAAATGCTATTAAAGTAAATCCTGACAAATCAACATTGATGGTCATTAATTCATCAGAAAATGACAATGAAACAAATGCAACATTCAATAACATACCAATTCATTCCACTCCCACAAATACCCCAGTTAGAATTCTAGGAGTATGGTTCAATACTTCTGGCTCACGAAAACACCACATTTCCTCTTTCAAAAATACAATCAACACCTTCAAATCATTACTTTACCCCAAAAAATTAACAGGAGAACAAATCAAATATATAATAAATCATGTCCTTGCACCTAAACTAGAATACAGGTATCAAACCACTTTCTTCTCTAAAAAAGAATGTAAACAATTACTTTCCCCTATCACAAAACTATTTAAAAACAAACTAGGTCTATCTCAAGCATTTCCAAACTCTGCTATTTATCAT